AACAAAACGAAACAAACAAAATAAAACCCCAAACCAACTAACCAAACAAAAAACAGAGCAAGCAAAACTGTCAATACTTGGAATAACACAAATAATCCTTAAAAGCATTTATCAAAGTGAAGAATCCAGGTAGGAGAGTAAAGTATGTGTGGTTCTAGAAAAGCCTGAAAGCCAACCAGTGGGTGCCCAGCATGGATGGGTGGCTTTATTAGTTTCTGTTGCTGTCATAAAATCATGACCAAGACAGCTCATAGAAGAATGAGCTTGTGTTGTCTTACGGTTCCAGAGGGTCTATGAGGGTGGAAGGGAGGCATGGCAGCGAGAGCAGGAAGCTGAGAGCTCACATCTTAAGCCACAGGCAGGAAGGAGAGAGAGAAAGAGAGAGAGAAAACTTGAAATGGTAAATCTCACCTCCTGTGGCCTCTAACAAGGCCACCCCTCCTAAAACTCCCAAACAGCATGATCAATTGAGGACCAGGTATTCAAATGCTCAAGACTATGAGAGACATTTCTCATTCAGAGTCTCACAGTGGGTGAGGGGGCTGAGTATGGCAGGGGTCAGCTGAGCACTATTAGAGATGAAAGCAATTCTCTGTATTTTGTGATGCTTGCTACAAGGGGGTATGATTTTGTTAAAGCCAATTTGTGTGTGTGTGTGTGTTTCTTATTGTATGTAAACTGTACTTCAGCAAGGTCAATTTTTACAAAGTAGCTTCAAAATCTTTGACCCATCCCATCAGGAAATAGACCTTTAATTCCTTCTTTCCAATTCTGGGTGGTTTGCTATCACTGAGCTGTGCAGCAGAATGACTTCTGGGACCAGATCACAGGAGATCATGTAGACTGTTCTGATTCCTTCCTCTGGAGGGAGCAAAGTTTCACACAGTCCTATCTCTTATGGGATAACCTTGCCAGAGAATCCAATGATGAATGTGGATCATCATTCAGTGACCATTCTGTGGGCTACCCCTAGCCCACAGAATGCCAGACACATGAGTGAAGTCATACTGGACCCTCCCCTCCCGCCTATTCATCAGCTAGGTCCATTTGTGTATAAGGACGAAGAGCTCACCAGTTAGGAACTATGGGATCAGGGAGCTGTAATAAGCCATTGTTTTAAATTGCTTAGCTTTAATGGTGTGTTAGTTACTTAGTGTGGAAAACCACTCTGAACACAGTGATTCATTTATTACCTCACAGTTTCTGTGAGCGAGGCGTCGGGGAGCAGTTTGAGCAGTTTGAGCTCAGCATAGCTCATGAGGTCAGATGTCAGGGCAGATTCTCCATTTGCCTGGGGGAGCTTTGGGTCCAGGTGGAAAATATAAGAATAAGGTTTCTGCACAATTTGGAGCTTGCCAGAAGAGGGTGAGGTAGGCAGGCTGCTGTGGAAAAAACCTAGACCTGTCTCAAGGGTTGAAAGTAAGAACAGAGGAAACTACTAATTCAGTATGGTGTGCTAGTTGGAGGGTCAGGGACAGAGAGTGTGGCGAACAGATTTAAAGAGCCAGAGGTGAGAATGCTGAGTTTCTAGTGAAGCTAAAGGCATTCACTATGCTGAGATAATTGGAGCCCAGAGATGAGGGAGGAATGAGATGGGGCGAGGAAAAGCAAGCAGGACATATCATACCAGGTCCTGTAAGTCAGAGAAGAGAAGGAGAGAGAGAGAGAGCTTGCTGTGATGACAAAACACTGGCTGGTGTAGAAGAAGGTGGTAAAGGTCAGGGCGAGGCTGGGTTCCAGGGTGAACTTCACTGACCACAGTTCCAATATTTATTTTGCCAAAGGGCCTCTCATTTGGATCCAGTTTCTGGTCGAAGGAGTATGTCTCAGGCTCTGCTCCTTGCAAGGCTGCAGTGCCTGGAAAAACCATGACTTCATCTCTCTGGCTCCACCTCGTGTGCTTGCCTATTCCCTAAGGCCTCTGTGACTCAGGTGAGATGCCCACCCCCACACTGGGAAGTAGTCTATGAAACTCTGCCCTCATCACAACATCAGCACACATATTAAAAGAATTAAGACATATGCATAGCTCTGTCTTAAACTTGGGGAATGAGGTAGCAGCGGCTATAACTCTCATCTTCGTCTTCGTTTGCAGACAGGAACATAAAAAGACATTTTTAGGAATGTCCTTCTGTAGTATCAACCCCAGTGTTGTGTACTATACTTTGAAATAAGGAGAAAAGGGGGGTTGTGAGTTATTCCTTCCACTTCTTGTAGGTCTGAGCACATATTTTATCTTTAAACTCAGCTTTCTAGCTGAGGATGCCAAAGAGCGTGTTATATGTTATTCCATTGAAATGAGACGCCCAGGAAAGGCAACTCTGTGTAGACTTCAGCTCTGAGGCCTTCCAACAGGGTAACCTCCCAAGGGAGAAGCCATCTAGGTGAATCCAAGAGCTGATGAATGGTAGGAAAGAACAAATGATTTTGGGTCCTGAGGTTGGAAGGTCCTTCTTTGGCTCAGTTCATCTGTCAGTGGGATGGCCTTTGCTGTCAAGCAGCTATGTTGAAGAGATGCCCCATATTGGCATGGTCAACAGCTCAAAAAAGAATTCATCTTCACGCGTGGCCTGGGTTCCTTACAGGTTACTAACAGAGTAGTGGACGACTATTGGCCGGCTGAATCTCTCCAAAGTTGCTGTTTTCCCTGCCCTCACTCGCCAAGCCCCCATTTTATATGTCTCCAAGCCACAGAAGATGTGATGTAAGCCTGAGCCTGGGCTGCTACCTAGTGTTAAAACAGTAATGGTAGCTACAGACAGAGATGGTATAAACTACAGCAAAACCAGACTCTGGGAAGGCTGTGCTCCCATCCTCACCCTGAGCTAGAATTCTACTGAGCTTGCCAAACCTGAGGCGGGGGTTATTTTACAGCATTGTGCCAGAGAACAGCTAAGTGGTGGCTTGCTGCAAGCTGGGGTTACTCTGGCGGGGATTCGGAGCTTGGGCTGTATTAGCCAGGCTCTTTCATCTTCATTGCTCCTCTTTAGGACAGATCCCAGTCTGTTGACTAGACCAACTGAAGATCTGACTTCCCAAGAACAAGGAGACAAACGTCACCCCAGTTGAAAGGCTTTGATTTAAGCCTTCAGAGGCCAGACGTCACGTTTACTGAAGCCTGTCAACTTCTACCAACCATCTGGAGCAAAAACAAACAAACAAACAAAAGACAAAAGTGACTGAGGTTTTCCTCTCAAATGGAGCAAATGGGACAGAATTTGTGAAGAAGAAAGCTGGATTTAGAATGCAAGAAAGGTACTGTCTGGGGAAGATAAAGTACCCATCTGCTGTGCTATACACAGCTATTTTTCTGGATGTTATATGATAAAGTGTGCTTCACACATATAATAAATAATCTTGAGTTTTGACACACATAAAGACAATGAAATCTAACCCCACTATAAAGATTTAGGATATGTGTGGACTAGCTCTTTCTCCATTTTGTGCCAGAAACCCTGTCCTTTGTTTACGATCTTCTATGGCTTCCCATGGAGCCAGGAGCAGAGTTCCTGGTGTGACTGGTAAGGCTCTCTCTGGTCCTTCACCCTGGCCGCGCTGCAGTTACCGCCTGGCTTCTCCTGGCATTGTATCCTCAAGTTGGGGTTTGTGTGTGAGTAGGTTTTTTTTTGTGGGGGAGGCATTCTCAAAAAGTTAGAAGAATGGGGAAACGAAAAGGTGGAGATGTCAGAGTTCGTTGGTGAACAAGTTATCTAGAGATAGGACAACAGGGGTTTGGTCTCCGTGGGACTTTGGGACACAGCTTGGTAGCCTGGGTAGTTAGCTCTCATGCATCACCGGCTGGAGGCTGTTCCTGCGCCGCTGACTGTGCCACGCTTAGAGCTCACAGGGGCCAACTCTGCCCTGGGACCCTGTGGGCCAGAGTGCTCTGCGTCCGTTACTGTCACAAGTGCTTGCTAGAAGAAGCCCTTGGCCTGCATGGTGAATGCTGAGGAAATATGGACAGGGCACCACAGCTCTCAGAACGTGCCTTTTCTCCCCTCTGCAGCTTTCCTTGCCTTAAAAATGACATTTATGTGTAAAGCTATTCATGCTTTAGTTAGCGTATTACTATAATGGGTTTCATTATGACATTTTGTACACCACAAAATGTATATACATTTACAGTGTACCTTTCTCATATCTGCGTCCTTACTGCGTCTTCTTACCGGTTCCCTTTCTCCCTTCATATAAGAGATCCTTTTTTTTTTTTTTTTTTTTTTTTTTTTTTTTTTTTTTTTTTTTTTTTCTTTTCTTGAAACAGGGTCAACAAGTAACACAGGCTGTCCTCAAACTTATTATGAAGCTGAAGGGTGACTTTGAACTCTTTTTTTTTTTTTTTTTCCAAGCCTGGCACTTCTGGAACTAGCTTTGTAGACTAGGCTCACAGAAATCTGCCCGCCTCTGCTGCCCGAGTGCTGGGATTAAAAGTGTGTGCCACCGAGCCCGGCCTAAATTTGAATTATGGATCTTTCTGTTTCAGTGTCCCAGGTGCTGAGATTACAGGAGGATGAGGGTGTTCCGCCGTCCCCAGCACTGCCTACCGGTTCCACAATGTCTGGTGCCACTATTAACCCAAATACAGCAAGAAGCAGACTGGCAAAGACCCCTCAAGCCCGAATGACTCCAAATGTACCTGGTGCCCGGGGGCTGAGCAGCCCACTGTATCCTGGGAAGCACTGGGCCACCCCGAGTCAAACCATGAGTCATCCTAGCAGCAGCCCCCGAGCTGGGAAGAGACCACAGAGTGGCCTGCCTGGTGGCTGAGAGCGGCCAGGGCAGAAAGGACGGTGGAATTACAGGGACCGTGACAACAGAGAGCTGATAAAAGGCTCTAGGGAGCTGGAGAAGGGTCTCCGACCCTGGGCTTGTGAACCAAGACCCTCCCAGACACTACCATTAGAGGGCGCCACCTCCCACTACTCCCGGAAGCCAAGGGAAACAAAAGCCTCCGGAGACAAACATTTGATGCCTCCTGCCTGCAGGTGATTTCCACCAACCGGAACGAAACAAAACAGACAGAAACCTCCCAGCTAGCCCATAGCCTGGGCTACTGAAGGTAAGCAAGGAAGGCCACGCAAGGTTAAGTTCTCTGGGTCTAATACACAATTAACAGAGGCGACAGCCCAGGAGGAGAGCTGACTGAACAAGCCCTAGCAGGCTGTTCCATAGTTTTCATGTTTATTTTTTTTGCCAGCCCAAGAACAATCACCACGGTGTGCTTGAGTTCGAGAAAATGAAGTCTGTAACGGCAAGCGGGCTCGGCCCAGCGCCAGTAGAGAAGGCTTTCAGCTGTCTAACCGCGAACAGGTGGAGCCCATGAGGATGGTGTCAGGGAGATTGGCCTGTGAGCACCAGGGCTTATCCTGAAAGACCAATGGAGCAAGAATAGGTTGGGGGTGGGGACTAGAGGCTGGCAGGCAAGATGGGAGGAAAGAGCCCAGAGACAAATAGCTTAACAAACTTCTGACCCGTGTGTGACAGTCAGTAGGCTGGTCAGGGGCAGGACCTACCCTAGCGAGTGAATCATAAAATGTTCGTGTTGTTTGCCTGTTTTTGTTCTTTTGAGACAGGGTTTCCTTCTGTAGCCCTGGCTGTCTTGGAACTCCCGATGTCTTGGAACTTCAGGCTGTCCTCGAACTCACAGAGATCCACCTGCCTCTGCCTCTGGAGCGCAGTTATTAAGGGTGTCCACTAACTTATTATGTTATTAACTCCATGTCAATGAGATAATACATGAGCGAGCCCTGTGTTTCTTACACAGCCTTCTCTGAAGTTAGCCCAGCTTGTTCTTCCTTTAAAACTCTACATTAAAACACATTCTTGCAAATGTTCTGTCTTTTAAAATCTTATTTTTCATTAATGTGTGTGTGTACATCTTGGCTGTGCATGTGGAGGTCAGACGACAGCTTTTGGCCGTTGGTCCTCTTCTTTCTGCATGTGGATCCTGGGCATCAAATTCAGGCCACTAAGCTTGGAGGTAAGTCCTTTACCTGCGGAACCATCTCACCAACCCACACATACTCTAGATCTTTACTGTGGGGTGAGAGCTCATGGTTTTTACGTGTGTCAAAACTCTCGATTATTATATGTGTGAAGAGGACTTTATCATATATCGTCCAGCAAAAACAGTTAACGTACAACACAGCAGACGGGTACATTTGTCTCCCCAAACAGCACCTTTCTTCCCATTGTTCTAGGTCCACCTTTCTTCACAAATCTGTCCCATTTGCTCAATTGCTTTTCGTCTCCCCCCCCCCCAACCTCAGATGGTGGTTAGAAGTTGACAGGCGTCAGTAAATGTGGGGTTTGGCCACCGAAGGCTTAAATAAGAGCTTCTCAACTGGGGTGACGTTTGTCCCCTTGTGCCCAGGTGGCAATGTCTTGCAGACACTGAAAACCGTTACGACTGGCAGGGTGGCAGTGGTAGGGACTTACAGAAACCAGGCATTCTCATAAATATCCCGCAGTGCACAGGGCAGTTTTCCACAGCAGCTGCTCTGTTTAGAGTGTGCTGAGATTAAGACCCTGGCTTAGAACAAACCAGTTCCATGATGAGCTAGCAGAGAATAAAGAAAGAAAAAAAAATGCTCCATGTCATTCATCTATTCCTCACCTGATCCTGCAAATCACCAGAGGTTTTCTTCTGAGGGAGGGTTAGCCTTTGGAAGGTATGTTCCACCAACGTGGAAACTGGGCTTTGAACCGTTTTGGTAGTGGTAATTGTGGCATCACCAGAATTCAATGGAATTTCGTGCAGCATCAGAACGATGTGATTTAAGTGTTCCACTGTCTTTTTTTTTTTTTTTTTTTTTTAAGAAAGGCTGTGCTAAGGAAAATGACGGAAGTACATTAGTGTGTTAGTATTATCACAACAAAACACCGCAGACAGGGCAATTAAACAATAGAGCGGTAACATTTTCAAGGTGCCGGAGGTTGTGAGTCCGAGGTCTGGGTGCACTCAGGCTCATGCTTGCTGAGGGCCCTCTGCCTGGCTTTACCTTGCATACTCACTCCTACAGCCTCCTTCTATGCAAACGGGGGACAGAGGGCCTACTTCCAAATCACATATGGACGGGTGGGGCACACAGGAATGTTGCAAATGATCACGGGACATAATGATGACTGACTTCCTTGCCTGTTTCTATAAATGGAAAGATGGGAAATTTATGTTTGTCGAACACTTGGGAAGACCATTTCTAATTCATTCTCTCAGTCCTTTTTGTTGATAATGACAGCAAGAAGCAAACAGAAGAAAACCAGAGTAGTAACAATTGTAAGGATGCTGAGTCTGTGGAATGGGTAAAGTACCAGGGGCAACGTGTGTTTATGTGTCTGTGTATTTATGTCTGTCATTAGGAATATATTACACAATACTTCCAAAGGGGCCTAAAGTCACCCTTTCACACTGGAGGCAAAAAAAAAAAAAAAAAAAAAAAAAAAAAAAAAAAAAAAAAAAAAAAAGGTAAAACTGGGTTTGCCTTAAATCTTATATGTATCATAGTTATTAGCTGGACATGTTTTATTTTTCTGAAGATTTATTTTTATTTTATGTGGTTTTCTTGCATGTATGTGTGTCCATGTATGTGTGTCCATGGATGCTGGAAGAAGGAGTCTGATCCCCAGAAATAGAGTTACAGACAACTGAGAGCTGCAGGCAGTCAGAGCTGGTCCTCCAGGAACCCAGTGGCTGCTCTTTGACCACCTCCCCCTCAGGAGGGTGCAGCCCTCCCAGGTCACCGAGGAAGACAATGCAGCCAATCCTGATGAGACCTGATAGGCTGGGGTCAGATGGAAGGGGAGGAGGACCTCCCCTATCAGTGGACTGGGGGAGGGGCATGGGAGGAGAAGAGGGAGGGAGGAAGGGTAGGATTGGGAGGAGATGAGGGAGGGGGCTACAGCTGGGATACAAAGTGAATAAACTGTAATTAATAAAACATTAATTAATTAAAAACAAAACAAAAAGGCTGGTCCTCTGCAAGAGCAGCCAGTGTACCGAATCGTGTGTGTGTGTGTGTGTGTATATATATATATATATATATATATATACACACACTCAAACAGAACATACATTTTTTTTTTTTTTTTAGAGCATATTCATCAAGGTTATGGTGATATGTACCCTGAGAAACTTGGTGTGTTAGAGACTTATTTTTTTTGTCTTTTAAAAATACTATATTTTTATTAATTCTTTGAGAAAGTATATGCATCCCCTCTATCTTGGTTGTAGTCCCCCCAAATCCTCCCTTTAACTCCCCCTAGAACCACCCTAAAAGCTTACTGGTAAAGGGCTGGGATGAAACGGTGGGAAGAGGGCATTACATGTTAACAGCTGCTTACCATTATTCCTACTACATCATTAACCTCATCACAATTCACATATCTCACAGCCCCATGTAATTAATTATACATGCAAATACAGAATATATATGAGAGTTTCAGGCTGAGGTGGGGAGAACCTCTGCTCTCAGCTCCAGGATGCTGATGTCCTTTGAGAATGCCGGCAAAGGTAGGTTTTGAGGGGAGAATAGGACGAAGCTGGGCTGTTAAGTTGAAATTAGATATTAAGTCAGGGCAGTGCAGCGGGGAAGGGTGAGGATCTGGGTTGCAGCGTAGGCTCTGTATGCGGTCCCTTACGTGGACATGGTGAAGTGATCTGTTTCTGCGCATTCTTGCAGGAGCAACGCTGTTCTGAGTCTCCCTTGCAGAGTGGGGACACAGGTGTTGGTCCTCGTTGTGTGTGGTCCTTCACGGGGATGGCTGCAGTGCCTAGCCTACCTTTGTGGTTGCTTGCAGTGACATGAGATCTAGGCTTCCCAGACACCCGCTCTGGGTTCCCTCAGTAAGCTAGGCAGAGAGAAAGAGAGAGAGAGAGAGACCTTTGCTTTCAGAGCCACCTAGCTGCTGACTCAGCAGGGGTTTAAAAAAATTGTTTTCCTTCCTGCAAGAAGAGGTGCTCTCTTTCCCCACCCCCACCTGGCCGGGGAGCTACCCATGAGGTTCTCTCTCTCCCCCATCGCTCTTTCTCTCTACTTTAAACTACTTGTTGTAGTACTGATTTCCTCAGTTGGGGCTGAGTCTTCAGAATGGAGTCTCAACTCTATCCTGCTTTCCAAAAATTCCTTTCTTTCTTTCTTTGTAACTGAAACCAGTGTTTCTCTGCTAATACATGTTTCTGAGGGTGGCTGTGGTCCAGCTGTCCCGTTTATTTCCTAGAGATCCTAGCAGGCTGTGCCTGGCTGTCGCCTGCCACCTTTTCCTCCTGTTTTTTGTTTGCTTTGTTTATTATTGGAAAAAAAAAATAAGCCACCAAAAACTGTCTAGTGTGACACATAGATTGTTTTTATGTTTTGGGTAAGATTTGACTCTTTTTAAAATAAAAAATATCAAAAGTATCTTGGCTTCGTTTTGAGGACTTGTTTCTCAGCCCTTTTCCTTCCCCCCTTGGAGCTTTGCACAAGTGGGACAGATGTCTACACTGTTGTTGCTGAAGACTCCACTCCTCAAATGCAAATATTTGCAGAGCTTATCTACGTTCCAAGAGTGACAGGTGCTTTCTATGGCAGTGCCCTGAAATATACACATATTGGGAGGTTTTTTTTTTTTTCTGACGTCACTTTTAGGCCTCTTTCTTGAGTGCTTAAGGATGTGGTGAGTGAATCATGCATTCACGTTCAACTCACCAGCCTGCGGCTCTGCTGTCGTGAAGGCACCAATAGTCTGTCTTATTTACTGACTTATGAACGAACACTCATCGTCACTACCTATCGAGTCCATCAACCTGAGGCTTGTGAATGAAACCCAGGGTCACAGAACTGAAAGCTGAGCAAGAGCGAGTGCTGTGTACCCCAGTTTGGGGAAGAGTGCTGAGGCCAACCATCTTAGTCTTCTTTCCCTTAAGAGTTGACCTAAGACTTCATATAAAGGTGGCTTATCCTGGAAGTGATACCAGGAAGCCCAAATGAGAAAGTGAGCATGAACAGGTGTCCTGGTGAGTGGGTCCCGCTGTGGAAAGCTAGAATTTCACCTCATTTCTGACATTCTAAGGGGTTGTTTAGACAGACATCAGAATTGCCTCATAGGGTAGTTAGAGGATCCTCAGATTCCCATTTTCATAGATTGAAAGATGCCTCTGAGGAACTTGTTTCTCCCTAAGGTCTGTGGTCTGAAGAAAGTCTCTCACAGAGACACAAAGAGCCAGCCATCAAGAATGTGAAGTGCACACAGGAGCACTCACCATAGCCATAGGACAACCCAAAAGTTGGACAAGGTGATGTGCTGAGGCATCAACATCACCTACCGATAGAGTGTGAAGGCTCTTTGACTCGATGGGCTATCACAGCTGGGTACTGATGGTGTAAGATGGTTGACATGATGGGATATCTCAGCTGGGTACCGATGGTGTAAGATGGTTGATGTGATGGGATATCACAGCTGGGTACCGATGATGTAAGATGGTTGACGTGATGGGATATCTCAGCTGGGTACTGATGGTGTAAGATGGTTGACGTGATGGGCTATCACAGCCAGGTACTGATGCTGTAAGATGGTTGGCATGATGGTATATCTCAGCTGCGTACTGATGGTGTACTGATATGGTAAAGTAATGGATCACTCATTCAGAAGGGCAGATATCCCTTTATTATTAACTCCAAATGAAATAAATTAGTTAAGTGCACAAATCTGTGGTCAATTCAGTTTAGTAGTTTGTTATTCCATAGACAACCAGTGTTCAGAGTATAGTCCTCAACTATCATAATCAACAACACCAGAAACTAGCTAGGAAAGCAAATTTTTGGTTTACCACCATTCTGAGGTAGGACCCAGAAATCCATGACAAGCACTCCAGATAATCCTGATATTCAAGTTTGAGCACAATGGATATAAATAACATATTGTACAAAAAACAAACA